ATTTTAGTGTTCCCCTGGTGAGTTGTATGTAATTCAAGGGAGTGCTTTGTTCTAAAAAAATGACTTCAGTACTGTGCACAACATGTACCTTGATGCAGCAAGGATAACCTGGAAGTTGAACAACCTCCACTCAACTACGTAGCCGTTGGATTTCTAGGGGGTATTTTGCAATTAGGCAGGGTATTTTGCAATTACTCTTGTCAGATGTGACGGGGACACCAAAAAAAACCCAACACCTAATTTCTGGAAGTACCCATACACGGACCCCTACCCCCAGGACATGGGAGTGGGATAGACGTCAGCCCCACAGTTGTGGGGGCAGCCATGGTAGCGGACCCCATGGTTGAATCCAGTTCCCCCAGCACGAGCCTAGGCCCTATAAATGTTACTAATCTGAGTAACTTGGACTCTACAGATTGCCTACATTTTGGAAAGAGTTCCTCAGTGGATAGGCTGCCTAGGCTCCTGTACATGTACGAATGCTGCTTGATACACACTGTACCTTGTGCGCAAACGTGAGACTGTTCTGGAAAATTCTAGGGCTTGCATGTACAATGTATAACGTAGGCCTAATGTCAAGCGTTTACCTAGTACAGTGTATGTAGTTTACATCTCTGTAGGGATTACTGGTGTCTGTTGGGTGAAACTCTTCCCCACTTGGACACAGTCGGATGAAAGTAATGTTAGAGTTGAAGAACATGTACCTTCCATGACCATAGCCTTTCCGTCCCATTAATTCATTTCACTCAAAATAGCTCATAACCCAAATCGAAATCTTTAGATTTCGTCGCAAAAACAGCCCAGAAACTGGCTAATTTGACCACTTTGGCCTTCAGTGGGATCAAAAATATGGTATAAAAAAAGAGGAATTTTCTGTTAAAATCAGAAATGCTCATAGCCAAGTTCTAAGTCACCATCTTCATACATGTGATATTGCCATTTAAACTGTACATGTACTGTATATTAATGTCCTAGCAACGATGTCACAACTCGCCAGTCCAGCAGACCGTGCACAAAAAGTATGCTTTTTCCTTCATCCATGAAAAAACATGCAGTGTCTACACGCGCATGCCAACTGTTTACTGAGTGGCGCAACATCCAGTGTACAACTCAATGTGGTCACTAAACATTGTGTCTGTCAAGAAACGGTCATGGGCATACGAGATTCGTAATGATTTAAAAAACACGAAATCTCATGGTGAAAAGCAGTGACTTTCACTTATTTTGTTGTTTTGGGATTTGGTAGAAGTGACAGTTGATTATATACCGGTATGGGTGCATGTAACTTACTGAATCAAGTTGTGTCATGATATCTTCAGCCTCCTCCCCCATTGTAAATAATAACTTACAAGTGAAAACAAGGTCAACCCCCAAACTATGAATCTAATAGTAGCAATGATGATACTTGATGTACGCGTATCTACATGTACATGTATGTAATCAATCCCACAGATCGCTGGTCATGAATCGAAAATGTGGAGACGTTATGGGTACATGTACATGACCGAGACCCGTCAAAAGTGTTGTCAAGACCAATTTTGAGACCAAGACTGGCCTCAAGACCTTACGTACATGTTCAGTGCTACAGGTAGCCCTATACTCATGCCTGTCTGCTAGACTACATGTACATTTACATAAGGCAATGGCAAAAAAATTAGTTGGTTAGCATCCATGCCCACCCCTGAAAAATCGCCTGCCCCGTTTTTATATTTTTTTTAGACACACCTGTTAAACTGCGGTAAAAAGAGCATGACAAAATGTCAGAGTAGGCATCATACACGAACAGTCTTTGTGATACGTACATGTACTGTACCCTGTATAGATCGTGCCACCTGTCACTTTTGATGCAAACATTGTCACGAAAATCCAGAAAACAAGGGGGCGCACAGGTACCGTAGTTCACTGTAGCTGGCTATCATGTCTTGCTGTGTGAATTAAACAAAATCAATTTCAAAAAAAACATGTGATTCACTTAATTGTGAGTATTATTATTTTCATCAATAAAAAATGCATCTCCTAACTGAGAAAGGAAGAGAAAAAAAACCTCCCACCCGCCCTTGAAAAATGAAAGGCCATGGATGCTAACCAACTAATTTTTTGATATTTTTCACTGTCATGACTGTATCATTTGCCCTAACAAGTACACGTACATGTAGCTACATGTCCATGTAAAGGCCCATACATGTACTTCGCAAAAATGCACCTAATTAGCCCCTTATTTCTCATACATGAACACCTTCATTCACCCAAGCAGTTCATTACTTCACCCAAACTGCAATTCCCTGACTGTTTCTGTTTGTGAAATTTTAGTCTTTACATATATGTTCTCAACATGTACATGCACCGGTACCATTCATTTACTACACAAAATCACTTAATCATTGAACGGGCAGCAGGGGGTAGGTACATGTACATGTGTACATATACGGTACTTGTACCGATACCATATGTACGGGGAACATGTACATGTAAGCGTGAACATAATTAGAATCTTCAGGGCGTGGGAAACCGACAGCAATAAACATGCACATGTGCATAAAAGGCTGTTTATTGGTACATGTATACAACTTCATATCAAGCAAGTGGACACATGTAAGGAAGCTGTTGCGTTTTGTGTGTACAGGTATGCATTGTATAGTATATGTAAACAAAACAGCCATTGATTGTTTTATTGAGTTGCATGTCATGCATGTGTGGTGGGGACAAGCGAACGTGTGCCTTACTCAGTTTTTGGTATTGGTATCATCATTATTCTTTATGGCAACTACTCCTACATGTACATGTACTATAAGTACATGTACATGTACACTACACAATTCAGCTTCTTACCGAACAGGTACATGTACATGTA